CGCTGCCGCCGCCCCACGCTGCACCTTGATGTCGGTCCTGATGGGCCCTACAACTGCGTCAGCTGCCACCTCGTCGATGACCTCCCAGGCAGTAGCAGCGGCCCCTTCAGCGGCGGCAGCCGCGACAGCCTCCTCAGCCGCCACAGTGGACGCGCCGCCGCCCAACACGGCTACTGCCCAAGCACCGGAGCCTCCAACCGCCCAACACTGAGAACCCTGTGCAGCGCCCACGGGTGCGACATCGCCACTGACGGCAGTAGCAGCCGCCGCAGTAGCAGCATTGGCCGCGACCCCGCCGGGAGCAGCACCATGAGCAACGGTCACGGCCCCCTCGGCAGTAGCACCGGCAGTTGCATTGGAAGCAGCAAGGGCAGTAGCACCGGCAGTTGCAGTGAAAGCAGCAACGGCGCCACTGGCAATGGCGCCACTGGCAACGGCGCCGGCAGGCAAGATCTCCCTCTGGTGCGATGAAACTGCAACATCCCGACTCTCCCCCTCCTGCTGCTGCTGCTGCTGCTGCTGTAACTCCAGGAGGCTGCCATCGGCAACTGTCTCAGCCGCCGCCATCGCTGTCCGCAACCCAGGCTCGGACTGCTCTGGGGTTGACTTCAGAAGTAGCTGTTGCTGCTGCTGCTGCTGCTGAATAGCTCCTGCGGTGGCACTGGCGGCAGTGATGACGGCGGCGGCGGCGGCTTCAATGCCTCTTCCGTCTGCTGCGGTAGAGGTGAGTGTGGTAAGGGGGGCAGCGGCTGCTGCTGCTGCTGTTGCGGCTGATCCAAGAGCTGTGTCTCCTGCCCCAGCGCCAAGTCGTTTTGGTGCTCCTTCTGCTGCGGCTGTTGCGGCAGCGGTAGCGCTGGCGCCAGTAGTCCCTGTAACCCCGGCTGCTGCTGCTGCTGCTGCTGCTGCTGCTGCTGTAGTTGCGCAGGCGCCTGCAGCTGCAGAGGCTCCGCCGACTGTTGTTGTTGGTCGTGCTGCTGCTGCTGCAGTGGCAACGGTGGGGGCGGCTCCAGTACCTCCGAAGGCTGCTGCAGCTCTAGCTGCTGCTGCTTGTGTTGCTGCCCATTATGCTGCTGATGATGATGAGTATGAGGCAGAGGCAGCGGCGCCGGCGGCGACGGAGGCACGTGCAACGTTAGCGGCTGGTCTTGCCGCTGCAGTACTGCATCCGCAAGCTGCCATTCCAGCACCTGCTCCGCTGCCTGGCGCCCCGCGACCCCCGCTCCCTGCAGCAGTTCGCCCGCTGCCTGAGTGTGCTCCTCCGCGTGCTGCTGCTGATCCGTTTGCTGCTGATCCGTTTGCTGCTGCTGCTGCGGCGGCGGCGGCGGCTGCTCTGCTTGTTGCCAGTCCATCAACGGCTCCTGAGGCAGCGACGGCAACGGTGGCAGTGGCGCCTGCGGCGTCGACAACAAAGGCTCAAAATATGCGCCAATCGCCTCTGCGACGACGTTAGAAGGCTGCGGCAAGGGAAGCTGAACCTCCTCGTCGCCGGCGGCGGCGGCGACGGCGGCGGCACCAGCGGCAGCGGAGGATATGGAACCGGCGGCAAGTACGGGTTCCGGGATGCATCCGCCGACGACAGAAGCAGCTGCGGTGGCGGGTAGCGGCGCTGAGTACGGCGAAGGGGTCAACAAAGTCAACCCAGAGATGGATAGGAGAGGGTCTGAAGGGCCACCCATCATGGAGGCGAGGTCGATTCCGTACGTGCTGCCGTACGTGTTGCCGTACGGCTCCATCATACGGAGGTTGCTGCTGACATCGCAGACGTCTTGCAGCCCGTAGCTCAAGGGACCGTTCATTGGGTACAGGCCGCCGCCGTTGACGTGCTGCTGTTACCTTTTCATGCAGAAGCACATACAAATATACGCAAATAACTAAAACAAAAACGCACGTTTAACAACTTGCCAATGTGGCCTCATGGGAGGTGACGGGACTTTGGGAAATAGCTACACGACAAAACACGTCAACAGCTGAGACAACGGCACGCAACGAGACATACATATAGATAAAGTGACTCACAGACAGACAGACAGACAGACAGACGGACAGACCGAACACACCAGGTGCAATGACATGGCAATGACAGGGGCGCTGGACTGCAGGTCTCGGTGTGCCAACCGCCAAACTACCATCCAACTACTACCAGCTAACACATAAGCATCCCAGGGAAAAAGAGCGCTGTATGACCCACGGGTCCGTCCATTCCCACGCTGCTGCTTCCCCTGCCCTCTCCCGTCCCCACCTGCTCCGCGGACGCCTCGCTGGTAGTGGCAGGCGGTGTCCTTATGTCCGGTTGCGGTGGGCGTTGTGCTGTTCTATTGCCGACGTGGAGCGAGACGTTGGTTGAGTTTGTGTGCGCGTGGAAAAAAAGGGTTTTGTAAGGGCGTAGCGGCGGTTGGAGTTGGGCGAGAGGGAGGAGGGATGGTGGGTGCAAAGGTGCTGCCGGCGGGTATTAGTCCTGGTGGAGTTATGTGGCGGGTGGAGAGCAGTTTCCGGGACATGCCGAGTATCGAGTGTCACGTGTAGTTGTGTATGCGGTTTTCTGCACCAACCTCACAACCACATTCCCC